AACGTAATCATTCAATAGCGTACATTTCAGTGAATCCAGCGCTATGCTTATTTTCTCTAAAGATCGTTTCACTGCAGTGTAGCAGGGAAAATAAGATCGAGTTCCTTATATTCGGCGGCTTGTTTACCGGTTAACCGATGGGCGAGGGGCGATCGCGATGACGTGACGGGTTAGACATGTTGGGTAGAACTTGTTATTTAATTGGTAATCTTTTCTTCGCTTTGAAACAAGTTCCATATAAAATTATTGACATTTATACTACGAGATTTTCTCCACACGTTCATATGCTTTTCGTGCTTCCAGCGATTTATACGCGTGATAGAAAATGAAAGCACAAGGCGGGTGCGAAGCATAATTTTATTTTGTATGCTACAATGTTGTAAAAGGGTTTTATCAAAAAAAGGCCAAGTAACGCTGTAGCCAGAGATTAAAGCTTTTGAATGATTACTAACACTTCTATGAAAAATCTTGTCCAGCGAATGAGGTCGATTATTCATTTTTCCTGGATACCTGAAATGAACTATTATTCTTTGTAAAACAAAACTCGAGGTTGATATAATTTATCTTCTTTAGATAGCTGACATTTCGGCGGTTTCGCTATCTTCAAACCGTGAAAAGATAGGGTTGTCCACAACCAATCAGTCACCTAGTAACCTCCGTTAGTTTATCAAGAAAAATCACCAAGTCTAGATTTTAATCGCATCAAGCACGAAATGACCTTCAAATGCTCACCACTTTCATAAACTCTCAACTGAGTTGTTCAAATGAGATCAATGCCAAGAATATATGGACTATAAAAGTATCTCTCACATCAAAATAATAGTTTTGAATACTGTCTCATATCACCCGTGGTAGTGAGGATTCCTCCCTGCAGTTCGTGTTTGGATTTATGAAGATATATCAGGCGAAACTCCAAAATCTTACGCGCTGAGGTTTCGTTCGTGTGCGAGGATGGGTAAGTTATACTTCAAAATTTTCTGCGTAACACAACTCTATCCTATGCGAGCGTAGTGGGGTATTTAATTTAGTTCTAAGCTTGCCAACTAGGTGCTCTTTGTTGCGGACAGAGTGATCTACCCGTTTTCTTAACGTATTTATCGTCACACGCTTTAAGGAGACGCGTAAAGTGTACTATGCAATCATCATCTCTAGCATTAGTGCATATTATGCACTCGTACGTTGTACATAAAGCGATTGCGAACCAATTGGTGCCTCGGAATTCGGTGGTAATTCAATTATTGCTACCAATTTTCTACAAGCCTGCTCTTTTCAGACGTTTTATATTATATTAATCTGATTTGAGAAGAAAGAGAGGGTAATCGGGACCTTTCTTTCGTTGGAACTATCGTTTAGGAGTAACTCACTTCCTTTAAACCTCCACCATAGAGCTACAAACTGGTAGCCATCAGAAATCGCTATTTTCCGAGACAAATTCAGGGATTTTATTCTCTGCGCTCTTACACTACACGACTAGCGGCTGATTATTAACTTCGTTATAGCCTTAATTCTCAACCAAGAAGAACTGAAATGGAACCAACGCAAACGCGAAAGCTACAAAACTTACCATGTATTCGTGTAGAGGGGAATTTTAGCGCAGAAAGTCCCGCTTGTAGCGCCGCTTCTGTGGACAAGTCTCGATTAAGAAATAACTTGTCGTTTCTAGTGTTTCATCGGACCACGCTCAAAATTCAGTAGCTTTATAGTTACAACACTGCCCATTCAGTGATATTTTCACTTAATGGCGCGTGTAAATAATATTTCTGCGCCTTCTCTGGGTAAGAGGGTTGCGTTGCCCCTAGAGAAATTGGCTAAGAGGAAAGGCAATGTGCAACTGAAGAGGCTGCAAGGCCGAAACACGTGTATTGCACTTCATAAGTGCTCATATCACACAACATGCAAGGCTCAAAAATAACTATAAAGAAAAAACTCTTGAGAGGTTTCATTTAATTTTCAATAATAGAATATTATCGTAGTAAAGTGCCAAAATTTGTTATATCATAAAGAACTCTGTAGACTCAAACAAAATTCATTTCAATCAGTGAAAATTTGTACGGATTAGCATTACCGAGTGGAGATTTATTCGTAGAGATTTATTTTTTAAACTGGAAGGCTAGAGATTATTGTCGGTCATGTATGAGTCATATATAACTTTGTCGTTGTGAATGTTTTGAATTTCGCAGCTGTCGAAGATGTGAATCACATCGTTTTCAAAATAGCAGAGTAATACATCGTAAATAACGAAAGCTGTCGATGTTGATCAATCTCTGAGCGATGCGCCGTGAACCTGACTTCATCAAGCAATGTTTAAGATGACCGAGTGCATACCTGGCCTTTACAATGACTTCCGGTGGTCTATCGTTGTATCGGGTCAGCACTGCTATCCCCTCGACAAGTCTTGTACCAATTCGCCGATCCCGGAAGGATGGAAGGCTTGGCGAGCATTGGGCGTGAAACTGAACCATTGACCACGATTGTAGCGCAGGGCACTTCTAAGCATTACGAAAGACGCGACCAATACATTACAAAGTTCAAATTTGTTGTCTTGATATCCTGTGATCAGCTGTAGTTCTAAGACACAATCTCGGATAGAATAACGCAAACTAGCAGCTGTCGTCATTGCGATATTCAAAACTCTGAAGTCTATAATCTTTCGCTTACACAGGCTTTTTATAGATCTTAATTGTATCTCACGTTTCGGCAATCTCGCCTTCATCAGGCCCTCGATGATTCCGAGTGTCCACAGCAGATGTTCTTTGGACGATGTTGCTTGTCATAGCCGTTAGATCGAGACGAATTGAGTAGAGTGGATTACTGCACGATTGAATAGCGCCCATAACGTTGCCTTTTATACGCGGTTCCAACTATGATGGTCTGACCTGATATAACTGAGCAGTTCTTTGCTATACGAACGGCACAGTCCTTTGGCGATTGTCGATGATTATGTGGGCTTCTGCCATGAGAACATCTATAAATCGGTCTCATCAAATGCTTTCACACCTCGCCTTAATCAGTCAATAAAAGTCTGTCAGAATATTCAGAGCCTTTTTGAGGCTGCTACGTCAGAGTCATACATCGTTTCGGTGGTGTCGCCCGCTTCATCACTAGTCCACGCCCCACATTGAACCCCTACTTTAAAGCAGGGATAGGAGACGTTATTTATGGTGATATCACGTGGTTTTGATGGTGATATAGTGATAACACGATATCACGTGCTGTCACTATAAATAATGTCTCCCATCCCTGCTATAAAGTAGGGTTAAGTGAGTGGCGTGGCCACTGATGAAGCGAACCACACGTACGTATGACTCTCACATATCAACCTCGAAAAGGCTTGAAACATTCTCACAAACTGTATTGTATGCCATGAGGATTCTTTGATTTTACCACTCCTCTCGCAATATTATGACGTAATTGTATACTAAAGGATGCTGAGCGATGCTCAGAGCTCGCACCTCAGGCGGGAGTTGAGGTGGCGTTTGATCGTACCAAGGTCGCCGTGCTAACCTCTACACCAGCGAGGCCGCCGCTACTCCCAGATGTTTCTTCCATATAATACGTCGCAGCTGTCAGCAACCACCTAACCGTGCATTACATTATAATAAGCGTTGTAACTGTTGTAAAGTGAGTCAAATTAATGAGTCATATAGATTGAATTGATCAGCGATGTGGATCAACTTCATATCGCTAAAGGCCACCATCCGTCATCCACTTCGTCGAAACAGTGTCCACCAGCACAGCACGTTTGCAGCTGATGGATGATGAGTCGTTGAGCCATTCATTTCGCTTTTCTCGCTAATGCCTTGATCTTCTCTGTCGCTTGTCCGATTACAGTTTTTTTTCCTCCGACTTCTGTTTTCTTTCTTTTTTTTTCTTTTTTTTTCCATTCGTTTGTAAACAATTTTTTCATACTATTAGTAATCATTTGGAAAATCTGAATCTCTTGCTACGAAATTATTTTATTTGACCGCCTATTGCGGTGTTATGATGTTTCTATAAACCCAATGATGTAAGTGGTGTGCAAAAACGTTTGCGTCAGCCGGGATTTGAACCCAGATCTTACTCTTTGGGTCTGGGTTCAAATCCCGGCTGACGCAAACGTTTTTGCACACCACTCTACATCTCTTGCTACGGTTTTCCAAAACAGCTTTTTATAAAACTGTAGCATTTAGAATAGAATTTCGTTTCACACTCGCCTTTCGCCTTCATTTTCATTACGCGTATAGTTCGCTGAAGCACGAAAAGCACCTCGGCGTGTAGAGAATTTTTCGTAGTATCAGAATCACGTCTTTATCAAAAATTTCAGTCGATGTTGTGAAAAAATCCCCAACTGAATAAGAATATTTCAAACGCAACCGATCGCCCCTTCCCCTCCCCTCCACTCGCTCCGTGAATTAGCCGATAGACGAGGTCGTCGAACTTTGAAACACGATCGATTTTCCCTGTTAAACGCTGTTTTGAGAAAATAAGCCCAACATTGGAATCATTGGAACTTACGACGTCGAATGGTTATTAATAGTCTATAGAAAAAGCTCTGTTCAGCGAGGTGTGAAGCAAAGATATTTTCCTTCTCCTACAGCGCTATCAAAAGAGCTTTTTCAGAAAGCAAACACATTTTTGAGTTCTTCGAAACTTGTGCTATCGAATGAGTACTAGAAGTCTAAGGAAGGAGTTTTGTCCAGCGAAACATAAGCGAGATGAGAAAAAAAACACGTGGCATGTGGTACACAATTTTATTTTGGATTTTAAAGCGCTATACAAGGATGTTTTGAAAAACCGGCGACATGGGGTTGTAGCCAGAGATTCAAGCTTTCGAACAGTTACTCCTCACACTCCTATGAATAGCTGTTGTCCAGCGAATTAGATCGGTTTATAAATTTGCCCCCTCCTAATCAGAAGGACCCATTTTATAAAGCGAAATCGCATATCCGACCAAACCTGTTAAAGGCTGGTGGCTGATAGCTAACATAGAGATGTCGAAGAATGAGTGGTCGGGCAAATGTGCCTCGGTGGTTTCGTGGTAGAGCACGCGTCCCCGGATAGGATGAAACGCGGGTTCGATTCCCGCCCGAGGCCGTGTTTTTGCTCACCACTCAATTCTCCTCTTGGTTTTATAAGGACCCATTTTTCTTCCAGAAATATAAGTGAAGTGATGGAGAGCACTGGTCTCTGGTCGATCTCCTCGGTGGCGGCGACAGTGATGGAGCGAAGTGTTGCTCCTCCTGGTCGTCGTCCTGGTGATCGTCCTGGTCGCGTGTCGCTGTCGTCGTCGTCGTAATGGTCGTCGCCTATCAGCGTGTGGCGCATGACCGACCGACTTGCCTGCGATGCGACGAGACGACCGCCACCTAGCAGCCACAGCCACATTCTTCCTTCGCTTTGTTGTGTAACAATACCATTGATTTTTTACTCTCGTGACGACGTGTGTGTGTTTTCACTTAATTTTATTTATTTGTTCCAATCTCATGTTGATCTCTCTCCTTCTCAGCCGACTTAGGAGCTTCATGATCTCCACGAAATTCTCTTTCCATTCATCCTTTCATTATTATTTGAGCCAACTTGTCATGTGGTCTGGTAAGGGCTCTTGTACAACCCGATACACGTGTTTCGTCCTTACTACCTTGGATTTTGGCTCAAATAATAATGAAAGGATATATTGAAATTCGAGCGTGGTTTTGATAAAGCACTCGAAATAAAGGTATAATATGATAAAAATACCAGCCAGCTAGCAATGGAGTGCACAAACACTCTGCGTTAGTTGGAAATTTCACTTGACAAAGGGTGTAAAACGTTCGTCTTCGATGACTCTCTATAAGGAGTATAACGCTTCCGAGAGAACTGACTATAAAAAGATCGACAGAGGACGGGTTCTGCCTGGCTAATGAGTCTGTAAGCCCGAAACACGTGTATCAGGCCATACAAGAGCCCATTAACAGATCATATTGAATGTTGGCTCAAATAATAATGATTGCTTATTTTGAAATTTGGAGTGCGGTCTCAATAAAATACTCGAATAGAAGGGGGTATCAATTATTAATTGATGACCAGCCCCTTAGGGTCAGTGCATCCATCAATGGGCTGTGCCTAGCCCAGGCCGCGGAAAGATCAGAAAATCTAAGCGGTGAGTGTTTTTGAATTGAACTTTTGTACTATGCGATCATCCAAAATTCCCTTCCTGATGTTTTCTGCTAGGGTTATGGAGGTTTGGCTTAGTGGATTGTGGGTCAGTTTGATCTTTCGAGGCTCTGAAGAAGGCGAGCTTCGCTGAAACGTGAGCCACTACTATTTTTGTAATATTCATGCTGCATTATAAACTGTATTGTTGTATTGCTTCGCTAATATTCAAGAAACAATATCACTAACACCTCGTAACGGCTCATCAGAAGAAACTTCTCCTGCGATTGATTATTCTTCTTACTAGTCAGTAGTGCAGCGGGTTAAAGCACTCGCAACCGAATAGAGTGAGGTGCTGGTTCGAGTCCCGTTCTGCGCAAGACGTTTTGTAAATCATTCTACGTCGCTGGATATATTTCTTTCTACTGTCTCAAGTCGCCATCGTTTTCAAAAATCTCAAATTGCTATATTATTATTTTTGTCTTTTATCTCTCAGGTCGTGTCATAAGTTTTAGCACTAGAGCAATAACTTATTAACCAGAAGTTATTTAAATTGCATGATTTAGTATCATTTAACTACGACTTTTCTTACGAACATTTTGGTGTACAATTTGCCTATACTTGCTTTAACTCTTTACGAAACTTGAGGGTCATTTTGACCCTCAAATTTTCAGAGATCTTTTTTGGCTGTACAGAGGTTTTTGTTTAGAATTTAAGTAATCATTCGAAGGCTTAAATCTCGAAAATTTCTACACTTTACTTGGTTTTCAAAAAGGCCTTTGCGGTCCACTGTAGCAACAAGAATAAAATTATGTTTCGCACTCGGTTTGCCTTATTTACTCAGCTAGAATTCGTGGATCGCTTTTTATTGGACAGCACTAAGCTCATTCGATAGCTCAAATCTCGGAAGACTTGAAGCCCAAGTGGTTCTCAAAAAAGTTTGCATAGCGCACTGTGAGAGCGAAAATCAAATTACGTTTCACATTCGGAGTTTCCTTTGCATATAAGAATTGTATGCGCACTAAAAGTATACAGTCTTGTCGAGAAAATTATGTTCTATCGTATGCTGCTGAAAAATATCAGTTTTTCTGTAGGGTAATGTGGAACTGCTAATCGTAGGTTCTGTAATATTCATCAAATATCTGATACAAGATTAGGAATAATGGAATAAGTTCATCAATTGAGTACCAGATCTGCATGGAAGCGCGCGCGAAGACATTCACTGCAAGACAGACGAGAGAGAGAGAAAGAGAGATGTGAGCTGATAACAGCTCACATCGTGTTTAAGCGATTAATTTTGAGCATCGTTTCACCAGCATTTTCCCTGCACACCATTCGTGCGTGAGCAGTGAGCGAATTTGTTGCCAAGATTATTCTATTTTGAAGCAAACATAGGAATGTTGTATGCCAAAATGTTCGCAAGAAAATGTGCAATTGAACAATACCGAATCGTGCAATTTAATTACGTCTGGTTAACGAATTTGATTTTCCTTCCTCTTCTTCTTCTTATTCTCCCTTTTCATAGAGAGAGGGAGAGAGATGTAGAGATAGAGAGAGAGAGAGAGAGAGAGAGAGAGAGAGAGAATGAAAGAATAGCCTAGGAAAAGCTTTAGAGGGTGTCAATGACTAAAAAAATAACATACCTATGTTTATTTTTTTCTCTTTCTCGTTGTATTTTGCACAGATCTCGATCTCGACTTTGATCATTGACGCGTTATTATTCTTTGAAGTGATGTTCGGCTGTATATATCTTTTCCTACATTAGTTTTCTCATTTCAGATTAATGTGATACGACCAGGACGGTGCCTTTCCGTACGATAGAGTGCCTTCAGTAGACTTCGACGTGTATTTACTCGTTTTCATGTTTATGATAAGCTCTACATTATTCCTATTCTTCTCTTCTACTCCCCATGACTCCTCTGTCTACATGTGATCCCATATCCTCCCCATCGGGCAGCGGACGGCTGACGTCAAATCAACAAAACTGGGCGAATGCCTTCGTCGAACGGATCTACCAGGTATGTTTCTTTGAGGTTATCATTTATCCCTAATAGGGATGTCGCTCGGTTTTTCTAAATCTTGTCTCACTGTTTAGCAGCTTTTGTTCAGTATCACCATCATATTAACTTTGGAAGTGCATTTAACTTCAGTAAGCCTGATAATCATTATTTGAGCCACGCATGTCAGTGGTCTGTCAATGAGGACTGACTTATAGAGCCCGATACTTATAGAGCGGTAACGGGCTCTATAAGTTAGCCCTGATTGACAGACCACTGACGGGCGTGGCTCAAATAATGACTATTAGGCATATTGAAATTTGAGCAGTGGTCTTAAGAAAACACTCGAAACGAAAGATATGATATATATTGCATTTAATTTATCTGAATTGTGACCACCAACTTCTTCGAGTCTTAAGGTAGCTTATATAGGGTTTTATATGTATAAACGTTATCATATTTTCCTTTTCATGAATGTAATAGAGAATAGCGCAGTGGATAGTGATGCCATGCTATTAGGAAGCGTGGTCGGGCCAGCTCGGATATCCGCAGAACTCTATAGAAAATCGCCTCGATCACCGTCCTCCAACATTCATAGAAGAGCAATTCTCAGCCAACAATCGAAACAACATGCAAGCATTCGCAGAGCTATTTTGGGTACATGCGAGGAAACGATTCGGATACAAGAAATGTTAGGATCCGCGTTGCGAATTGTGATGCCGGGTCATGCAAGGAAGAGAAACTTGATTCGTTCAGGCTCTGAAGTCGGCCGTAACGTCAGCCGTTATGTTGGGCTGTACAAGAGCATCCTCGTGATTCATCAAGGAGAACATTGGCCTACTATTACCTTCCAATCGACTGTTTTCTAAGCACGCTATAAACATTCAATATCACCTGTATCAACTGTCGTCCCGTTGATCGCCGAGTGACTCGAGTGGGTACCAGCAACTCTTCCATTTTTCCCTATCGCGTGCAAGAGTAGCCCAATGGGTCCTCCTCGCTCTAGGCATTCGCTGAGCATCATATCTTTCTTCTATCGCTTTCGTGAAGAAATCGGACCAACGGGTCAGTGGTCTTCCTTTAGAGCGTTTGACGTCCCGAGGAACCCAGTCGGTAACGGCTCTCGTCCATTGGTTGTCGTTGAAGCGCATCACGTGTCCGGCCCACCTTATTTTCGATATCCTGTCGTGTAGAACGTTCAAAACATTCAATATAGTCTGTGAGAATATTCAAGCGCGAGAATGATCCGTCAGTGGCTTAGTTACGTTTCGGCGATCGCCTATCTCATCAGGGTTACTCGCCTCATAGGTGGTCAACTCTGCTTTATAACAGGGATGGGATCCGTTTTCGGTGATAGGACGTGATATTGTGTTTCTCACCACTTGTTCAGTCAATGCCTTAGGGCTGGTAGTGAAGATAAAGACATTATTTTCCAATCGACTGTTTGCAAACCTCAGTATAAATGTTCAGTATAGTTTGTGAGAATGTTCATTTCTGTTCGAGTTTCATTCGACAGTGGCTACGCACGTTTTGGTGATCGTTTACCTCATCAGAGCTACTCGCCCCGTTGATCAACCCTGCTTCATAGGAGATGGGGAGACGTTTTTTGTGACGGTACGTGATATTGTGGTTCTCACCACTTCTTCAGTCGATGACTTAAGTCTCCTCATTCCTGCTTCAAAGTAGGCTCTGAAGAAGTGGGCGATATCGCCGAATCGTATGTAAGGCATTGACGTATCAATCTTGGAAATGATTGAACATGTTCACAAACTATAAGAGGATAAAAGCTGTCGGCGTTGATCAATCCCTGAGGGATGCGCCATGCATTCGACTTCAATTTTTAACTTCGTTTGAGGTAATTGAATGCATATCTGGCCTTTACAATGACTCGCGGTAGCCTCCCGCTGAACCGAGTCAGTTCTGCTTATCCTCCCAGACACGTCTGAGACCTGTCTGGTACCAATT